ACTCAAGTTCCACCCATAGATGAACATACTCAGTCCTTTTGTCTTGGAGTCATCATGGGCAGGACCACAATAGCTAATATTTAATGTTATTGTAAGATGCCTCGTCTAAAATGTCAGCCTTAGATAAGACTGTCCTCAAACAGAAAAGGATTGCTCACTAATGATGCCCTATAACCAAGGTGAAACAGACTTTGGATTTCTTTGATATTACAGAGGTCAAATAATTACATTAAATAGGTATATCTTCATTTAAGCCTCCCCTTAGTTGTCTAGGAGTTTGGTTGTTTCAGAATGTTCAATCTGATCAGATACTTATGTTGTTGACTCATTACTAGTTTCATGTACTAATATGTACTATAAGTTTCTTCTATATGTGATATATAAGCTTTTCTTTCCTTTAAACTATTTCCTCAAGATAAATTCCCAGCAGGTCCAGTGCCAGACAAAAGTTGTCACCTTCTGATGACCGTAGATCAGTGCCGGGGGGGGGGGGGGCTTTCCCAGGGATTAACCAGTGGCATTTCTAATTAGAGCTACATCAGTTTTCAGGGCTTGCAGAAAGAGGTAGGCTAGGGGACACACTGGAGCTGTCTTATGAGTACCACTGCTTCTCCAGAGAGGCAGGAAAGTGTATTCAGACCTATTATAAGGCACATGTAGTTTTCAAATTAAGAGGAAGCAACAAGATAATTTAGAAGATCCACAAAGACTGATTTCTTTGGAATAGGGTTTTCATGTCATTAGGCTCTTTGTCCTCAGCCCTTCTGGTGCTCGCTGCTCACGTGTGAGGAACCTGACTCCCTCGAGTCCCCACTTGGACAATTAGAGGTTTTATCTTGCTGTTTTGTAGAGTGCGTTCATTTTGATTCTGCTGCAGGAAGACTGAGTAAGGAATGATTTACTTGGGATCCCACAGCTTCTGTTTTGCCCTCCTGATGTTACATATCTTGTGGACAGCAAGTGAGCTTGCCCGGGGGCCAGGAAGCCTGGTAGACTGCTTGCCACCTACATGTGGAAGGTATCTGGGAAAACCTGGTGGGGCCCAGCTCCGTCAGGCAGGCAGGCCCTGCAGCCAGGAGTTGTGTCCAGCATCCTCATCCATGCCAACTTGGGTACAGGGTGCAGTTGCCAGCTTTTTATTATAGAAACCGCCAACACCCCACACTCTCTTTTCAAAGGCAGCCTCTTCTGGTTGTGTCATAAGTAATGTTTCTGAAATTCACAGAAGCAGACGCTGTAATTTCAATCTACTTAGTATATCCACAAGAGTAATATATTTAAAAATAAATCATAACTTCCTTTCTTTTCCATTTCATATGCATTTTGTGATCTAGTTTTCCAATATATCATCCAAACTCAGAAGATCAACATAAAATAATAAGCCACTTAATATCCTTATTTATTTGTGATTTTGCAAAATTCATTACAACTTTTTGCATTTTCCTTTAAATAATGAGCCTAATAATACAATATAAATGAGTCAAAAATGACCTTAAAGTATTATGTCATTTTCTTTAATGTAGCAGATGATTCTTAAATTATTATTTTATTACATCAAGGTTAAATTTCCAATCCATCTTTTAATCATAGATGTTTTCTGGAACTATCGCTTTAAAAGGCACTTATTCTCTTTAAGAAGTCTTATGTGGAGCTCTTGAGGGCTTACCCTTCTGCCCTTGGGCCAGTGTCAAATTTGTGGAGAAATCACAGAACAGCTGGGAGATATGCATTAGCCTGACACATTCAGTCTTTGACCTTTACTACTTCTTCATAAGAGTGTTCAGCAGTATTCTACTGGACATCCTCAGAAACTCCTAATTAACTTCACATATAAATTATGTTTGTGTATATTAGAATTGATGTAAGTGACTATTTTCCCCCGTTACATGAAATATATTCTGCTTTGTATCCATAACTCATTTTGCTATTTTGTGAAAGGTTATTTTCATCAAGGAGAAAATTTTGTTATTCTTAATGAGTCTGGATGTTATTTTAAATATTCTGCCAGGTGAAAAACAACCTTATTGTGGTGAAATCCTAACTCAGCTCAATGCAAAGCGACTAAACTATGGCAGACTCCAATGGCACAACACATACATCTGTACATGCAAGTAAGAGTTTGCAGAGAACCTTGTGCATTCAGAATTTGTGATGTCTGAACAAGGGTCCAAGTGTGATTCTTATCCAGGTTTTGTAGCAAATAAATAAGCGTCCATCTGTTAATTATGCTGAATCATGTAACATGACATTTTATTAAGACAAGTTGAAATGCTTTTAATTAGTATGATAATTATGTTGGATTACACAATATTTTAAAACATACAATTTGGCAAGTGAATGCTTCCTGGATCGTAATTGCCTGGAAAACAGTAATGCTGTTTATCTCCAGACGAATCCCTCATATGGACTCATCTGTAAAACTTGGCCACCTAAGAAACATTAACAGTTGAATTCTGTTTAAAGATCTCAACTAGCTGGCTGCATGCCCCTTGATTGCCTTGGAAGAATGCATCAAAAGGCACTTAACATGCATCTGCTTTTCAAAAAGTCCAGTTCCATACTGAAAGCAGTCAAACTTTTATTAGTGATGAAAATAATTAATTTGGATAGCTAGTAAACAAAATTATTTCACATAAAAGTTCCCTAAGTGATTTTTACAAGTTATCCTTTATTGAATTACCTGATATTAGGTGATTTGTACGTTTCTGCATCTCAGGAAATCTGAGCAGACAGAGAGAGGAAATGGGAAAAGAAGTCAGTAGCATTTTTAGCATGACCAGATGTGAAGTCCTCATGTCAGTCTGGTGGGGATGGGATTGTGAAAGCACATGGGATTTTGAGTGTAGACACTCCTGGTGTCCATGTGAGGAAGAGTCACTAAGGCGGGCTTAACTGCTTCTCCTTTTGGCCTTGGGCTGGTGGCTGGGAGCCTGGCTTTGGGGAGTCCCTGCCCACAGTGATAAAAGGGGTTCCCTGCACCTATGCTGTTCATGCAGCCAAGGGGCTGACAGCAAGCCCCACATTCCTTGCAAGAGCTAGGAACTCAGGGACAGGACAGGCAGACACTATGTGTGTGCAGCACCTAGTAAGCATCCCGAGTACTGTGTTCCTGACAAGCCTCCCTGGCTGATGGTGCTTCAGAGGTGCTGTCCTCTTAGTCCCTTTGGGTGATTAGACAGCAGAACCCACTCTCTGACAGTTCTGGAGTCTGAAAGTCCAAGGTCAGGGTGCAGCCAGGCCAGGTCTTGGTGGGGATCTCTTTCTGCCTGGTGGATGCTGCCTTCTCACTGTGGCCTCACAGGGCCTCATGGGGAGAGACATTGGCTGCATCTCTACTTATAAGGATGCCAGTCTCATTCATGAGGCTCCATGGCATAACCAGTTCTCCTAATACCATCCACTGGGGACCAGGGTTCCATCACATGGATTCAGAGCACCCGTTCTGTCCACACAGCTATCACAGCTCATTGCTGGGCACTGGAGGACACCCCTCATGACTGTGGCATAAGCTTTGGGGAGCCTGTCCCTGGCCTCTTCCAAGCCTCCTCCCAGCACGTTTCCTTGCTGATCATTCTCTACATCCTTTGCCATAATGAAGTGTATCCATGAGTGCAGCTGTGTGCAGCATCCTGCAGTACTGGAGGCAAATCTTCAAACCAAGGGTTGTGTTGGGACTTCCACAGTAGAGGTCCTAGGGGTAACAATTAGAAATTTTTCTCCACAAGACATTTCAAACATCCTAAGAGCTCATGGCTTGTCCCCATCTCCAAATATAGTGGTAAGATTTTTAGTTCGGCTTAATTATTTTTTTTAAAGAAAGTTTATCTAAACCCCAATGATTTGCCCTGGGCCCAGCTCAGAAATATCAAAGGTCACTGAGGAGGCTCCCACAGCACATGGCTCTGTTCTCACCAACACCCATCCCTCCTCCCTGCATGCCTGGCCATTTACCCCACACTCTAAACTACACAGCACTGTTCTGTACCTCCTGACGTGGGTGACAACCTGGTTCCTTCTGCAAAGCCCAAAGAAATTTATTCCTCAGCTTGAGAATTTATTAAGTGCTACTAAAGACTCTTAGAAAAACTGATATGTAGGTTTAACACATTTAATAATAATTTTCAGTTTTTATTATATGACAGTCTAAATTTAAATGCAAATTTATGTGCTAATAACAGCCTTGAGAAAATTAAAATGCACAGTATGCATATGCCAAATGAATTAACCATACTGACTGAAAAACAGTTTAAAGTATTAAACATTCTTCTCTTTTGGTATCATAAATCTCCCTGTCTACCTTTCACATAGAACCAATGAATTATAAGTAGCTTTTTCCTTCCCTTTGAAAGTGTGTCCATACCAGTTCATGCATCTGTACCATAGCTGGCTGCCTTTTCAACCTCTGGGGCAGATTCTGCTATTACTTAAATCTTAAGGTACTCTGGGCTGAAGTTCACCTCCTCCTCTATACTTTAAATCATCTCTAGATGACTTAAAATACTTCCTACAGTGTAAATGCCACAGAAGTAGCATTTCGGGAATAATGACAAGGACAAAAATATCTGTATACATTCAGTGCAGATACAGTTTTCTTTCCAAATATTTTCTCTTTGAATCCCCAAATATGGAACCTTGGGATATGAGGGCCGAGTGTGTATTCGCCAACGGTGCCCGTGCTGTAAACACAGGCCTGGAGTCAGCGAGCAGCCTAGGCCAAGTGCAGGGCCCAGCAGTGAGATAGGCTGGAGGCCCCCTGGCCCAAGAACAGGTCAAGGAAACCACACCCCGAGAAGGCCCACCAGAGTCCAGAGTGTTCCATGGCCACCCGCCCCACACCCGGAAGCCACACCCGCCCCCTGCTGGAAGTTGTGACATTGCAAATGTAAAAACAACAGGAAATCAGGCATCTCTGGCCAGGGCCCTCTGCTGCCTTTGCCACCTCTCCTAAACGCGGTTGGCTCTTCTTTGCCTGCTCACCCAGTCCTCTTTCTCCCCACCAGGTATCATCATCATGATGTCCATGTGCGACGAGGTACACGTGTACGAATACATTCCCTCCGTGCGGCAGACGGAGCTCTGCCACTACCATGAGCTGTACTACGACGCAGCCTGCACGCTGGGCGCCTACCATCCGCTGCTCTTCGAGAAGCTCCTGGTGCAACGCCTCAACACGGGCTCGCAGGCCGACCTGCACCGCAAGGGCAAGGTGGTGCTGCCGGGCTTCCGCACGGCACAGTGCCCTGCGCCTGGCCCAGGGGATGCATACTCTTAGGAAGGACCTTTGGGAACCCACGCGCAATAAGGTACCACTGCTGTCTTCGGAGTCACAGAGGATACTTGAAGCTAGATCCTAGACAGTGTGGTGTGGAGTCTTGAACCGTAATGTAGTGTGGACATGAGAATAATTCTCTCCCAAGCCATTGAGTATTTTTTAGTACTTTGAGTATGGAAATGGAATTTTAAATAAAACACTCAAAAAAGAGGCAAGAAAAAGACTAGATAGAAAACCATGGGTCCAGTACCTCGTGAAGTGCTGTCTTTCTTAGGTCAGGGCTGCCCTTTGTCAGGGTGACTGGGGCTACAGGCTTCACTGATGCTGTTGGTGACAGAAGAGGCTTTCTGTCTAGAAACAGCCACATGGAGGTCAGTGTGTGACTGCCACTGATGAAGGCAGTCATCCTTAAAGATCCTCTGTTTTCTCATGAATGTCTGAGTCAGCAAGCAGACAAATTGAACAGGAGAAATCTCCCCAGATCAGGTCAGGTGCGCAAGTTCCCAGCTTTGTACCCCAACTCTGCTTCCCTCTTCCCACTGAATGCTCTGCTCCCTGTATCAGGACCAAGTTCTAATACCTGGCCAGTCCAAGAAACAGCCAGTCCGTGATGGCATCCTCAGGAGGCCCTTGTCCCCTGCAGTATTTCAGGACTCACCCACAGTGTCAGTCATAGGCAATATCTCAAAGGATCACTCACAAGGCACAGAGTGTCCCAGGCAGTGGCTTTTCTACCTTCCATCCCTGGTTTGCAGGTCCACCCCACAGGTGGCACATGTGGCACTCTGTCCTTCCAAACTAGAAGGAAGGACTTTGGACCTTCACCCCCGGGTTGCAGGGGACACACACCGGCCTCTTTTATGGGGCTTTCTACAAGTTCTTATAGCTGCTACAAACCTGACAGCTAATTCTTCCAACTGACAAGCATTTCAGAACCCAATCCTGGTTTTCACAGGTGTGTTTTCTGTCAGCAGCATTACAAAGCCTTAAAATTAAATAAAAATGAGTGAAAGCATTGCTCTTTAACAAGGAAAATCATACCTGTTCAGATGGAGAGGCAGGCAGGGGAGAAACTCATACCAGCCTGGTAGCGATACTGAGGTTTTTAACCTCACATTCTGTCTCTGATACATCAGTGATTTTTGGTGGTGCAACAGAAACATTTCAGAATACCTTAACTAAACATACTATTATTCCAATATCAAACCAAAACCTATCTTAATGGCACAGTTTAGACTTCAGGGAAGTGACAGCAGCTCAATTAAAGACAGACTCCTTTGCAGGGTGTGTGGCCATCGGGAGAGTTTAGTGGCAAAGGCTTTTTTGTTTCTGGATTGGTTTGTTTCAGTACTTTCAGGATGGCTTCTGTGAGCAAGAATAGTTTACTGAGACTGGCAGCTTCTCCTTGGCTATTCTACTCAGCAGAATAACATTATTCCCATAGAGAAATGGGAGCAATTGAAAAGTTTTCATTTATTAGATATTATCTAATAAAAGTCCATCCAAGGAACTTCCTTACCAAATCTATGAGAAGGGGTGGATGGTTTCATCTTATGTGTTAAATTATGTCCAAGTAGACACCATCCAGCCCTGGTTCTCCCTTATTTCCTGAAAGAGCTTGGTGGCATCCACACACTTAAGTAAGTAGAACCTTCCCAGCTCTGGAAGGAGGCAGCAGAGGTGCTGATGGAATGAGTTCTACCCCGGAGTCCAGGGATCTTCCTAGATCTTCCAAGCCTTGCCATTTTAAATGCCCAAAGCTACTAAAATCCCTGTTATAGTCTTCCAAGTGGATTCACTCATGGGCATCCTTATTATCCAGGACAGCCTCCCTTTGGTGGCATGAGAATTTGGTTAGCAAATAATAGATTCAGGCCAATGTAGATATTCAAGTTCAAAAGCTCCAGAAAACACTTCAGAGATTTGTTAAAATTGCATTCTGTTGTAGCACCTGTACTTCCAAAAGAGTACTTTCAGTTTGACAGAATTACAAGAAAGACTGGTGAACATAATGCAAATTTAATTAAAATTTGTGAATTTATTATGGCCTTAAAGAGTCTTGGGAATCAGAGTCAGTTGAAGCCTGAGGAGATGTGAGCACACATGTTTACACAGCGCTGGCTGCACAGTCTCCAGTTTAAAAGTTTAAATCGTTCAGCCTTACAAGTGCATTCTGCTGTGCATCAGTGCAAAGACTCCTCCTGGTACTCTTTGGTTCTGAGGGGTGGGATTTTGTCAGACATTGGTTAACTTCCTGTGTGCAGAGTGCTGAGCTCCAGTAGGCACATGGCCTTCTAAGGAGTGGTTAGTCGTGAGTGACTCAACTCCTCTCCCCACCTCTGCCCCTTCCAGAACATGCCATCCTCTGGGGAGGAAGAGCTGAGGAAATCCTTGCATCCTTCCTGAAGGCCTCTGGTGCCACTCTGCACTCAGCACTGGCCAGTGTCACATACCTCTGTACTTCAAGGTCATTTCCCTCTGTCTTTGTGAAGACCAATACTGGCATCTACTTGCACCTTGATTCCCCCATCATGTTTCTCCAGTTGTCGTTTTGGGGTTGGAGACTCTTCTGTCCACTGGGTTAGGGCCAGATGGACTGTCTGGGTGGATTAAGTGGGATCCATCTTAGATAAGCCACACTCACTCTGTGACAGAAAAATGTCATGAGCACCAATGACGTGATTGACTTTCTCCAGGTTTTCCCCTCACTAGACATAGTGCATGTGGCTGAGGGTACCTGGGCCCCTTCTGCTTATCTATGAGAAGACAGACAATGGGGGTTGCATGGAGCTGGGGGATTGTGGGCAGACACACAGCGTCCCATTGTGTTTCCATTTCTGACCTTTGGCTGATTCAGACTTACCCTGTGCCACACAGCAGACAGAGGCAGCTCTGTTTAGAAACTAACTGGGAACACACACTTGAGGTTCAGCTTGGCTTTGATACTCTTGATATTTCCATTGTGAAATTACTCTGCGTGATTGAACCACCGGGGCATTATTTAAACACTTGGCAAATGAAAGGGATTCCTCTGATAGCTCAAGGAAACAAAACGTATTTCTGATTCTTGTTTTATTAAATGATCGAAGTCTTTTAGAAAGAGAAAAATAATCCAGTCTATTCTGTACAAGTTTCGGTTATGAAATTTGAAGAATTCAAGACATTGATATAGTTCTTACTCTTAGTATAGAAGTGTGCATGTAGATATAGTTATATAATTGTATATATACATATCTACACACATGGTTGGTTTTATATTGTCTTTTTCATTAACTTTTATGATATAACCTTTACAGTAAATTTTTAAATTACGCAAACTCTAATTTTTCAAGAGAAGGAAACAAATGTTACACATCCTTCTATTAAAATATGGTTTTCCACACCCTCTGTACACACATTCTACACCCCCTGACTATGATAAACAAAAAGAATAACAGAAATATTTTAAAGGCACCATGAAGGTAGAATCACTACCTAATATTGGATCTTCACTGGAAGCCTGATTGTAACTCTGAACTCTGAAGTTTATCACTAATTTATGGCTTTTACAAGACTGGGTGAAGAAACATTTATTGGTTCCACGGAAAATAGCCTAACTGGATAAATGCATTGGTGTGATAAAATCTAGTGTTTATAACATGCATCCTATTTTGCTTTGGATTAAATACTTATAAAATTCTTCCATTGGAAACCAGTGAACTTTTGTAATAGCATTGGGAATTTTTTTGTATGACAATTTTTAAACTGAAATGTGTACTCTTCCAATTAATTAAGGCTTGAGGTTTTCCAGAAGTTGCATTTTAAAAGTGTTTGTACACATTTTAACACTTTGATATTTTCTACTTTTGTTTTGTATATTTTTATGTGTACACAGTGTACAGACTTTTCTTGTAAATAAAACATGTTTTCATTTGTCTAGAGGTTTCTGTTTTAATTTGTAGAAGTTATACACGCAGGGGAGTAAGTAGTAAAGAAATGGGCCATTAATAATGAGCATGGAGCCAAGATCTAATTAAAAGCCTGAGTGGCAAAAGCAGGGACCACTGCCTTCAGACTGTCAACACCACTGACGCAGCCCGGCTGGAACCAGAGGTGGCCACTGGGGTCTTCTTCCCTCATTAATTGTCACATGCAACAAACCGAAATGGCAGAATTGAGATAAAAGCATATTTTAAGCTCACACGACTTAGTAAACCAGTGTTTTGGTTCATTCTTACCCTTTTTAATTGATGACTTTTCCCAGCCTGCCCAGGCTTTACGTCATAGAAAACACACGCACATGTTGCAGGGGAGGCTGGGCAGCAAATGGACCGTAGTGTTTCCACTGTGCTGCAAAAGGAGAAGGTTCATCCGGCAGGCAGCCTGGCACACAGGCCACGCTGTTGTCAGAGAAGGCAGCCACCACCTTCGCAGTGGTCATCTTTCTTTCCTCACCAGATGCCAGCTTTGGGCTCTTTGCAGGTGATTGCACAGAGATGGCCCTGCCAGTCGGAAGGAGAAGGGCCAGGCCAGGGCTCCAAGATGACCTGCAGGTGACAGTGGGGTGAGCAAGCCCTGGAGACACCAAGGGCCATGCAGACTGTGTCTTCTGAGATTTGGGTGCTGTGGGAAGGACTCAGGGAAAGAAGAGGAATTGTTTGCAAGGACTCCGAGAGGAGGGAGAGGGCAGAGCTGCCACAGCATAGATACCAGCTTCCCTATATCTTTCAGCTTTACAGAGACACCAGTGACCCACAGTCTGTGGAAACCACAGTCAGTGTTTTGACTTTGGATCTTTGCCAGGATGGAGCTATGTGGTCCGATCTTCTCTCAAGGTGCTGGGCAACTCCAGTGGGCCCCAGGTCATGTAAGGACACAAGTGACATCCCACAGTGAGAAGGACCTGAAGTGGTTTTTGAGTCTGATGAGGAGGTGGTGGAGAAGGACAGGGAAAGGAAAGGAAGCCTAACTTGAAAAGGAGCATGTAATACCTCCCAAGGGTCTCTGGTGTCTCTTGAATATCAAAGTCATTAATTCAGAAACCAATCTACCCTCAGGGGACCTAGGGGTCCAGAGAATGGAGGGGCAGGAATCCTGGGGGTGGACTTCTAGGCAGGGTCCCTGCTGTCCTGGCCAGCTGTGCCTGGGGATGCTTTTGTGAAAGAACTTGCAGAGAACACAGCAGGCTCCTTCCCCCTCCCTGGCTGTGGCTGTGCTCCTGCTTCCACAGCTGAGTGGAATAGTTGAGGCAGAGATCTTGTGGCTGGCCAAAAAGTGTTCACAATCTGGCCTTTTGTGGGAAAGCTTTGCTGACTGCTATCCTGAACTCTGCTATTCAGAGGTGGGAATTCTGTGAATCCTGGAAGGGGTGGAGTCAGAGAGGTCAGGTTGCCAACCTGCTATCACACAGCCAGAGCAGACAGCCGAGCTTGCAGTCCTGTGTGCTCCACAGAGCCATGGGTTAGTCCTTAACACAGTCCCCACTGAGCCTCTGCCCTGTGAATCAGATCACATACCCCAACCACTGCCAGGGACCCAGATAAGTGCTGTACAGTGACATTTCTGTTAAGTGACAGATTGTCTATGGGATGGTTTTGCACCACACGCCCAGTTGTGTGGTGGCCACACCATCCACATTGGTGCAAATGCACAGTGTGATATTTGCACAATCAGAAGCTCACCTGGCTTTGCATTTCTCAGTGCCCCAGCATTTCTCAGTTGTCATTAGGCAACACAGGATGGGTACTTTGGTGTCTGAAATTGAGCTGTGAATTTACGGAGAGGATCACTGGGCTTTTCCTGATGCTCTTCTAATCCTCTCAGACCCCAAGGCACTGACACGGATCGAACTGCTTGTGCCCACCAGGGTCAGTCTTTGTCTTATAGGAAGCCAACATCTCCAGATGTCACAGCTGAGGGAAGGGAGCACTGCTGTGTGGCGCTTGGACACAGCCATAAGAACTGACACCCACGGGCTCTGCTCCACCAGGCCCAAGACACTGAGTGATGCTGGAGAGGAATTAGGCCCCAGCTCAGAAACTGACTGACACAGTCAAGGTCAAGATAAATCAACAGCTTTGAAAAATGCTGCATCTTCTTGTCCTTGTCAAATTCCTCACTGTCCCCAGAGTGAAAGAACAAAAGGATGAAGACAGAAGGATGTCTTTTGCTTATTTGCAAATCAACAGAGTTTCTGCAAAAAGGGAAGGGGACCAAGAGATGGAGGGGGAAGAGAGGAGAAAGGGGATGAAAAAAGAAATTGAGATGTGTCCTGTTCATGTACCAACTCCCCCACAATGCATGTGATCATCATGTACTACAAACATGCACTCATGAAAACATAAAAACAAGCAAAACAATCCTGAGCAAAGAGATGAGAGGAGATGATTTCCAGCTGTTTTATTCCCATCTGCACACCTTCTTGGAAGAGCCCCTAGGGCTTGAAAACCAGGAGGAGGATGTCCAGAGGTGCTGACAGCTGAGGAGCTGCGGCCACAGTGGCTCACAAGCTCCGCTAGGAATCCTGCACACGTGGCCTCATCCTGTGCATGAGAATTACTGCTTTACTTCTCTCCTGAATCCCCTTCCCAGCATATGGTCTAAGCTATCATGTTTCATGCTTACTTTAGCACCACATGGACTAAAATTGGAAGGATACAGAGCAGGTCGGCATGGCCCCTACACAGGGTGGACACACCAACCCGAGATGTTCCATGTTTTGGAGGACCTCATTTTAAGTGCAATAATCCAGGTACAGAAAGACAAATCTGCGTGTTTTCACTCATACATGGAAACAAAAGTAGTTAAACTCAGAAGTAGAAAGTAGAATGGGGTCCCTGGAGGCTGAGAAGGGTGGGGATGGGGTACCAGAGTAGGGTTAGATAGGAGCAAGACCCAGTGTCCTGCAGCACCACAGGGACAGATCTCAAAATAACCAGAGGAGATGGAAGGATCCCAACAGAAAGAGTGACCATCCAAGGAAATGGAAAAACTAATGATGTGTTTGTCACCACACAGAGGCTCATGTGCTGGCCACAGTGAGGAAGCTGATCTGTGGGGATGCAAGGGAGTCAAAGAGAAAGGACTTTCCTGAGCCATGAGCTGTCTGGTTGGGAGAAGGCAGACTGCCCAAGGCATAATTAGTTATAGGAGGCTCTTTTGCACCCCACTACAGAGAAAAATGCTGTGACTGCACAGTGACCTGCAGTTTACAGTTCAGGTGAGCAGGTGAGACAGTCACTGTGGGCCACATGTGGGCCTGCGTAGCTAGGATCTGAACACTCCTCAGATGGGAAGTGGGGAACATAGTTTGGACTTCCAAAACCAAGACAAGTTGGACATAACTATCTCAATAACTTTATGTTAATTACATTTTGAACAGATATTTTAAATATACTCATTTAAATTAAAATATATTACTAAGATTAATTTCACCAACATTTTACATGCTTTAACACACTTACTAGAAGATTTAAAATTAATTTTTACCAATGGAACAGAATCTGGATTTTTACCTTCTGCAGCCAAATGACCTTTACAAAGGTGCTAAGAATGCATGCTGGGGAATGATGGTTCTTCAATTAATGGTGCTTGGAAAATTGTGTATCCACATGTGGAAGAATAATACTGGAATCCTGTTTCTCATCATATAGAAAAGGCAACTTACAATGATTAAAGTCTGGAATATAAGACCTGAAAAAATGGACCTACTGGAAGAAAACATAGGGGAAACACTTCAGAACATTGTACTAGGCAAAGACATTTGGATAAGACACCCAAGTCACAACAAACAAACAAAAAAGAGGAAACCAAAGACCTTTTTTGCATGAAACTAAAGACCTTTGGCACAGCAAAAGAAAACAATCAGTACAGTGAAGAAACAACCTATGGAATTGGAGAAAATATTTGCAAATTTACATCTTTCAGGTGGTAAATATTGAGAATATGTAAGTAACTCAAACAACTCAATGCCAAAATCACCACGACCACCACTATCATTGTCATCACCTGATTTATAAAATAGGCAATAGACCCAAATAGGCATTTCTCAAATAAGATGTATAAATGGCCAACAAGGATATGAAATATATCACTAATCATCAGGGAAATGCAAATGAAAACTACAGTGAGATGTCACCCTCACTCAATAGGAGTGGCTATTAGCAAATAACAAAATAACATGCCCCAGAAAAGAAGTGGTTAAAAAGAAACCCTACACACTGTTGGTGGAGGTGTGAGTTACTACAGCCATTGTGCTAGATAGTGTGGAGTTTTCTCAAAAATTAAAACAACAGTTCTACTACTGGTTGTGTATATAGAAAGAGGGAATGACATTATTATATCAGAGAGACATCTACAATTGAATTTTTTGTAGGTGAGTGTGTGATACTGGGAACCAAGCCCAGGGACATTCTGCCACTGAGCTACATCCCTAGCCCCTTTTATTTATTTTAAGACAGGGTCTCACTTATCTCCCCAGGTGGGAATTGAACTTGCAGTCTTCCTGCCTCACACAGTGCTGGATAACAGGTATATAGAACTGTGCCCAGTGTGCCCGTGCTTGTTTGTTGCAGTGTTATTCACAATAGCCCCAAAATGGAAATAACCTTAATGTCCATCAACAGATGAATTAGTAAAGAAAACGTAGTACACATACACAATGGAATACTACTCAAGTAGTGAAGTCATCGTTTACAACAACATGGAAGGAATAAGAGGACACTGTGTTTATGGATATAAGCCAGGCACAGAAAGACAAATGTCACATAATATTACTCACATGTAGAATCTAAAAAAGTTAATGCCATGGAAATTGAGAGTAGAATGGTAGTTACAAAAGGCTGAGGAGAGTAGTGTGGAGAGAGACGGGGTAAAGTTGCTCAATGGATATTAAGCTATAGATAGAAGAAATAAATTCTGGTGGGGTTTTTTGCATAGCAGA